AATCTTTTTAATGTTGATTTGTTAAATTACTAGATATTTGTTGTTGTCTATATATGCAAAATAATAAAAAGTAACAATCTATAGCCAAGTGTCTTATGGTAAACATGAGAGGGTGGTTAGTCAAAGACCTTTAGGTTGTGTAATAATTTGTAATGGCTGTTGTTAGTGTGCAAGGGTCAGACTTTGGCTTTTGTGTATGCAATCAGGACACCTGATAGGTAGTGCCCGGATCCGATAATTTAAAAAGGTCAAACAATTGTTTTTCTTAAGATTTACAAGGAGGAAAATGATTAACCTGAGTAAAATAATTTCTTTTATAATAGAAAATAAAATACTCACAATATGATGTTTTTTTTGTTACATATTACTTTCTTCGTTTGGTTAATCTATGATAACCCCATCTATTTTATAAAGCTCATGCCTTCATAGTTTACTTGTAATTTTGAAATATGTAACTCTTGTTGTTTTATGAATTTTAATGAGCATTGAGATACTTACGTGGCACAACAAATGTTGTTGTCTCTTTCGTGTAGTATTAGCCACATAAGGTGCACGTTCTCGTTGAAATATGTATCTCCTTGTTCGCCACCTTCGTAGAGCTCCATCACCATATGCACGTTCTCGTTGTCCTCATAAGACATCGCCGTGAGTTTAACGATGTTCGGGTGATCTGGAATGAGATCATGTAGTCACGTGGAAGGGAAAATAGTAAGATGAAGTTGTCGCCATTGTGCTTGAAATGAAGCTGAAGAAGAACTAATTTTACTCTCAAGTCTCAAGTAGATAAACTTTGAAATCAATATATAAAAAATAGGTTATAATTCTTTCAAATTGTTCAATGTTGTGATTCTTGAATATGCTTCATTAATCAGTGTCCCACATAGCTACGACACCAAAAGTAACACATTAACCAATTACGGTTTATGTCATATGTGTGTTTTAATCCTTAAAACGGTTATGACTAAAATATAAACAAGTTTGCGGAAGATAAGCATGCGAAACATGAAAAGTATGAGAAGACTGAAGTTGCTGCTTGGGAGCAATTCAGCAGTGGAGTTGCTGCGAAAACCATGCTCAGTATGGGTTATAAGCGTGGTTGTGGACTTGGCTCAAAGGAGCAAGGCATCAAAGACCCTATTGTTACGCATGTTCTTCCACATAAAATATCGCTTGACCATTTTGCATTTCTATTATTAAGAAGAGAGGCAAAATAAACAGACAGATAGATCCAATCTCTGATGACACTGTCAACACAAAACCATTTTCTAACAAAAAAAAAAACAAATCCAATGGTCATCGACATCACCATCTTTGTTTATATGAAAAGTATAAATCATTTGATCTTAGTAAATTATCTCGATCGGGATAATTGCTCCTCAAGATTGATAATTGATAATTTAGGTTTAGTTCAAGATTTTATTTAGTTTTACTAGTTGAAATGATAAAAATGGACTAATTAATACCCAATGATGAAAAAAAATTATATATTGAAGAAAAACGATGAATATAAATTAGGTGTAGATTTTATTTTGTTACATATTGAATGACTAAATAGGAAAATTCATTGACCAAAATGTGAACAACAAATGGTTAAGTACGTCTTTAATTGTTCTTTTCAACTATTCCATATATACAATAACGTTTGCAAATATAAGA